TGTGGTGCTGGGGGATTGAACCGCGGTCCCTGTGCTTTGCTAAGCTTGTTTTAAGTAGGTGCTTTAGACCACTGAGCCATCTCACCAGCCCCTCTTTTCTTTTTTTGGCGGGGAGAGATGGGAGTACTAGGGACCCACCTAGGGTTTGCACATACAAGTACTCTACCACAGAGCTGTATGCCCAACCCAAGACCCCAATTTTTTAAGAACCCGATGTCTAGTACTAAAGGAGCAAAGCAGAAGTAAACTGAGATTTTTTTTTTTTTTTTTTAGATTTCAAAAAAAGAAAAGCAAACAAAACTGCTCTCCCCAAATAGGTATATTGCACATTGCGGTTAAGATCTCAACACTTACATTTTTCTCTTTTGGGCACATATTACTATTACGTAGTCGATAACTTTTTTTTTAAAGTAAATTATACGCTCTTACATATAAACAGGTACGATTCACGTTTGGACATTTCTCTGTAAGGACTGAAAACGCAGAGCAAAGGGGAAAGCTTTAGAAAACCCTCAAATCCAGTACCGTTGCTGGAGGCTGCCCCCCAGATGCAGGAGGCTGCAAGGTAGGTTCCGGAGGGGGCGCTAGGGTTTGCCAGGCTGGACAAGAGAGCAAAATCGAGAAAGCAGCAGACGGCAGCGCTCCCATTTCAACTAGAGGACAGAAACCGTCGCCTGCGGGGCCTGAGCCCTGGGGTCCATCGTCCTCCCCAGGGAAGTCCTCGCTCCCGCCACCTCTCCCCCAGCGCACGCTCGGAGGCCTGTACCTTGTCAGGGTCGGAGTACCCGCTCCTCCAGTATCTCCGGCCGGGACCTCCCGTCCTCAGGCTGCCGAGGTGCCAAGGGTCCCCGCGTCGCGTACCACTTCACCCACCCACTCAAGAGTGGCGGGCTGCCCAAAGGCTCGCTTTTCCCAACCCGCAACCCCAACACTGGCTGCCACTCAGCGCAGCTGGTCCCCAAGCGGCGAGCTTATTGGTGACCCTAAAACTCCGCCCCCTAAGGGCGGGATAAAGCGCACTTCCAGCTCCGGTGATTGGTGAAGAAACTCAAATCCCGTGCCTGTGGGCGGGGTTTCCAATACCCGGAACAGGTCGGCGTGCAAGCAGCTGACTTTCGAGAACCCGCAGCCCAGAGCCTTAGGAACCGAAACTAACTTGGGGCCTTCGGAGGGACCTAGGGTTTGATAGGAAGGGGCGGGGCCAGAATTCTGATACTTTGGGATGGGAAAGGGAAGCTGAGGTAATAAAAAACAATAGTAATGATTTTTTAAAATTTAATATTCTTGGGGCTGGTGAGATGGCTCAGTGGTCTAAAGCACCTACTTAGAACAAGCTTAGAAAAGCACAGGGACCACAGTTCAATCCCCCAGCACCACATGCCTGCCAGCCCCGCCCCCTGGTGGGCTGAGCTGGCCACACACACACACACACACACACACACACAAAATTAAAAAAAAAATTTAATTTTCTTGGCACACTTTTAGTTATACATAAAATGATCACATTCATCATCGTGAATTTGTACCTGTGCGAAATATATCTTGTTTTTTTCTTTTTTGAGACCAGGTCATGCCATGTAGTTCATGCTGGCCTCCAATTCACTATGTAGGCCAAGTTAGCATGAAACTTGCATCGCTCCTCCTGCCTCAGCCACTGAGCACAGGGATTAAAGATCAGTGCCACTACTCCTGGCTTTAATAGTAATGATTTACTAGGTAACAATGAAGGCATTAGGTTTATATTATCCGTTTACATTGCCACAAGAACCCCATTCAGATGGAAAATCATCTCCATTTAAATTTAAAAATTGAGCTTCCAGAAAGAAATCCCTCGTCAGTCATGACCGATGATGATGATCTAACCTAACAAGTGGCGATGGATTCCAAAACAAATCTTCTCACTCCATACCCCAAACTTGGAAATACCAACATTTTACAGCAGTACTTTTTTTTTTTTTTTTTTTTTTTTTCAGAACCGGGGATTGAACTCAGACCCTTGCGCTTGCCAGGGAAGCGCTTTTTCCACTGAGCCATTTCCCTGTCCCCAGTACTTTCTTCTTGGATAACAAATCAGAAATTTGGATTCCACATCCCACGGGCACACACACACCTCAGAAATTATTTTGAATAGGGCCAGGGAGATGGCTCAGTGGAATAAGCGCTTCCCTGGCAAGTGCAAGGGCCTGAGTTCAATCCCGGTTCCACCAAAAAAAAAAAAAAAAGAAAGAAAGAAAGAAATTATTTTGAGCACATACCATAAGTTTCAGCATGCCAGAATGTCTGATTTATTCATTCTCAGACATCAAAACATCAAAACGTGTCCATAGCTTTTGAAGAAGGCCCACCCTAAGTATGGAGCTGGACTTACTTCTTGGGATATGGGAAGAGCTGTGGTCACTGTTTCTTCCAAGTCACTTATGTAGGAGGTGGTCCACAAGCTCGCTTTGCTGGTCTCTGTCTGAGGGGTGCTTGCTGCTTTCTCTTTATAATAATATTGGATCAAGTGTTCTACCCCAGCCTTCAGTGCTGGTTTAAGTGAAGCACTGATCACTAGACCCATGGGCCCCCCTGACATTCCTGCCATAGCTGTAAGAAGGTCATAACCCAGATCTATGGCACCATTTTTGCCTCGTTCCTTGGCCTTGTCTGAGCAATTCTGAATTGCGTAGTACAAAGCTGTGCCTAAATTGTAATAAGTTCCCACACCTGGCACCATCTGGATGACATTGTAGATACCCTCCTCCTGCGTGTTCTCACAGTCCTTGGTAGTTGGGGAGCGACGAATCCTCTTTGAATAGTCGCCATTTAAGCGCTGCAGAGCAGAGGCCAGGGCTTCTATAGACACCCTGTTCTCTGCGCTTCCACCTTTCTGGAGCCCTTGGAGGTGGCGGATGAGGACCTGTGTAGCATTCAGACCACCCCAGCGGTAGAGCTGAAAATCCAGGGCCTGGACTTCAGCCTGGCAGCCAGCTTCCTCCAGGGCATTCCTCAGAGCCAGGCCTACCAGGTACTTGGGAAGAGGAGTCATGTAAGTGAAACCAGGAAGAGACTTGGGGAGCAGGGTTAGGCAGGAAAAGGGGTATGAGGAAGATGGTTGTGATCCCAAGGCTGAGACAAGAGGTGTTGAAACATTTGTCTGCTTCCTGTATGAAATGGCATCCACAGGGTGCAGCAGGAGGTAGCAAAGAAGAAAGCCTACTGCTATCAGGAGTCTGAGGCTACACATGCCTGGAGCAGAGTACCCTGTAAGGGGAGAAACCCAAAATTCAGAACGCTTTTCTCTAAGGTCTGAAAACAGCGAACACTCCAAGGGGCCATCTCATCAATCACCTACATCCAAGCTCTTCTGTGCTATTTAGCTCAGGGCCTAGGAAATGGGAAATGCAACACCCCTGCTCCCACGTGGGGTCTCCCATTTTCAGCTCACAACCACTTTCTGCTTTATCCCCGCCCACTAATAGGGACCCCAGTTTACCACAGAGTTTGGTCACTGAGAAGTGAAGCTGCTCTGTAGATCTGGTTGTTTCTCAGTCCTGTTCTGTCCACTTCTTTGTCCCATGGAGGAGATATTTGCTTTCCCTGTGATCAGTAAAAAGTGTAACCTCTGCAAATATTTGCCCATTTTTGCTGACTGCTCAGACCTTGTCCCCTTGTCACACACTCACCTCAACACTAAAACTTTGTTCTTTGATCTTTCCTATATATCTCTGTCATGTTTTAGCCTAAGCTCAGTTCATGCTAGGAGCCAAGAAGATGCAGAATCAGAAGAGATTAGTGTGGGTTTTTTGTTGTTGTTGTTTTTGCAGTACCAGGGATTGAACTCAGGATCTTTCACTTGCCAGGGCAGGCAATCACTTGTTCTACTGAGCCATCTCCCTGGCCCTTTAGATTTTTTTTTTTTGTTTTTTTGTTTTTTTGTTTTTTTGTTACTGGAAATCAAACGCAGGACCTTGGGCTGGGAGATAGCTCAGTAGAATAAGCGCTTGCCTGGCAAGCACAAGATCCTAAGTTCAATCCCTGGTACTGCAAAAAATAAAAACAAAAACCAAACAAACAAATTCAGGACCTCATGCTTACCTGACAGGAACTATGCTGCTGAGCTATATCCCTAGCCTGAGATTAGATGTTTATGATTCTCTCATTTTATTTCTTTTCAGTTTAAAAATTAGATTAACAAGCTATAACATCCAGCTGGGAATTGAGAAAGCAAAAGGAACACGAATGAGAGAGATTAAAATGCCTGTGTGCCTACTGTATATTAAATGCATAGTATCTGATGATTGAGAGAAGGGCAAAATGGCTTAAGAAATATTGCGGTGGGGGCCGGAGAGATGGTTCAGTAGAGTAAGCGCTTCCCTGGCAAGTGCAAGGGTCTGAGTTCAATCCCCAGTTCTGCAAAAAAAAAAAGAAAAACAACTTTGGGCCGGCCAAATTGCTCAGCGGGTTAAAGCTTCTGCAAGCAGGCCCAGGGGCTGGGGGTTCAATCCCCAGGGCATACTGAGACAGCAATTGAGACTGGGCATGGTGGAACGCACCTGTAATCCCAGCTCTTGGGAGACTGTAAACAGGCGGATCACTATGAGTCTGATCTAGTAGTGTCTTGAACACCCGTAGCCCCTTCCCTAAAATACAATAAATAAAAACGAACTTTTTAAAGTTTTCTCTCAGTCACTAAGGTGCTCTATAGCTGGATCCTCCTGTTTCACCCTCCCAGGTGTGCATTACCATCTTCTTTCCTTCCTTCCTTTCTATTTATTAGTGCAAGTTTAAATTACATGATGATAAAAAAATTACATGATGATGGAATGTATGTAGGGAAGTTGGCTACAGTACATGCAGTTAGTACATTAGAACCAGTTCAGTTCCATTACTTCCCTCCCTCTTCTTCTCCTCCTTCTTGCTTGCCTCCAGAAGTCTACCTCCAGGATTCCTGTCCTTTCCTTTCATTTATTTCCTCAATTAATAATGCTTAGGGAAGCATTTATTCTACTGAGCCACCTCCCTGTCCCCCCCCAAGTTTGTTTGTTTGTTTGTTTGTTTGTTTATTTTGCGGTACCAGGGATTGAAATCAGGACCCTGTGCTTGCCAGGCAAGTGCTTATTCTACTGAGCTATTTCCCCAGCCCCCAAAGTTTTTTTTTTGTTGTTGTTTTTGTTTTTTTTTTTTCTGTACCAGGGATTGAACTCAGGATCTTGTGCTTGCCAGGCAGGCACTTATTCTACTGAGTCATCTCCCTGCCCACCCCCCAAAGTTTTTTAACAAAATAAAATAAATTTAGAAAAATTCGGGGGATCATAGCTTAGTATAAAGGCCCTGAGGTTCAATCCTCAGTATCAAAAGTAAAAACAGAGACTGCAGGGGAGATAGCTTAATGGCATAAGCACCTGGCTGGCAAACGCAAGGTCCCAAGTTTGATGCCTGGTACTGAAAAAAAAAAAGTATAGGCTTAAAATTTGGGCCTGGGGATATGGCTCAGTAGAATAAGCATTTGCCTGGCAAGTGCAAGGGTCTGAGTTCAATTCCCGGTTCTGCCAAAAAAACAGTTTAAATCACATTTGTTAGGGCTGGTGAGATGGCTCAGTGGTCTAAAGCACCTACTTAGAACAAGCTTAGCAAAGCACAGGGACTGCGGTTCAATCCCCCAGCATCACATGCCAGCCAGCCCCGCCCCCTGGTGGGCTGAGCTGACCACACACCCACCCACACACCCACCCACACACACATAAGTAAATAAATAAAAAATTTAAAGAAAAAACAAAACAGAAAAGAGGGACTGCTAGCTACTATACAGAAAAGTATAAGGCCAACATGAGTCCCATAAAATTCAGCACAGGGGTGAAATAAAGAGCCTATTCTGTCCTAAACGGTGTCCAGGCCAGGGAGATACCGCAGCGGCATAAGCAGCTGCCTGGCAAGCGCAAGGTCCTGAGTCTGATCCCTGGTACTGCTAAATAAATAAATAAGTAAATGGTGTGCAGTGCTACTATGCCCCATTCTTTTTTTTTTTTTTTAATTATTTATTTATTTATTTTGTGTGTGTGTGGCCAGCTCAGCCCACCGGGGGCAGGGCTGGCTGGCATGTGGTGCTGGGGGATAGAACCGCGGTCCCTGTGTTTTGCTTAGCTTAGCTTGTTCTAAATAGGTGCTTTAGACCACTGAGCCATCTCACCAGCCCTATGCCCCATTCTTGAACACAGACCTGGGAAAGAATTGTCAAATATACAGCATTGAGGGGCCGGGGAAAAGCTCAGTAGAATAAGCGCTTTCCTGGCAAGTGCAAGGGCCTGAGTTCAATCCCTGGTTCCGAAACAAACAAAGTATAAGGCATTGAGTACCTGAAGTAAACCTGAACAAATTCCTGAATCAATTTCCCCTTAAGGCATTTCAGAGTAATTGTGAGACATTTGATCAGTTGTATTGTCATTGTGCGCGGACGCTGAACCATTAATTTGCGAACTTTTGGAACTTTTCACATAATTCTTTGGTGTGCTCCCAGATTCAGCCCTGCAATTCTGGGTAATTTTGACAACAAAAGCTTTGAGCTGTGATGTCAGGAAAATGAGAGATGACTATCTTAGCAGACTCAATTATCTTCTGAGGTGACTGGCAGACAAACCACCCCACTTGGTATGCTTGCCACTTTCCTCAGGGTGGGTAACTGCCTGTTGAGTTTATTCTTGCTTCCCCAAAAGACCGTGAAACCCTTATGGTTGACCCCATCAGTGTGCTTGTGAAACTCAGCTGAGGGTTGCAGTTATGCCCTTTCTTCCCACCCTAACCAGCTGGAGCTGCAGATAGAGGGCCTCAGGGCAGCAGCCAGTGCCCTCCGAGGCTACTCTGATTTCTGGACATTACTCAGGCAGAGAGGGAAAGGAGGGGGCAGTGGGTAAGGAGTCCTGGCAGGTGCTGGGATCAGAAGGGGGATCTGGCTGGAGAGCTTGCGTGGCAGATGCCAGTTTGCATGAGAGATGGCTTCAAGAGAGCTCCATTCTGGATAATTCCCACAAAGGTAACTACCACAGCACAGCAAAATAAGCAAAAGAGTGATATAGCCTGACTCTTGGAGGGTGTGCAGGGCAGACCTGCTAGGAAGACAGAAGACTAGTCAGCGCTAGAAAGTGTCGTAGCACTTAGAGACATATTATCTTGGATGTAGCTTCACCTATACTTTTTCTTGTTGTTGCGTTTTTTTTTTGTTTGTTTGTTTTTTGTTTGTTTTTTGTTTTTTGTTGGCAGAACCAGGGATTGAACTCAGACCCTTGTGCTTGCCAGGGAAGCGCTTATTCTGCTGAGCCATCTCCCCAGCCCCTGTTTTTTTGTTTGTTTTGTGAAACAGGGTCTTGCTGTGCAGTTCTAGCCAGCCTTGATGGCCTCAAACTTGCAGCAATCTTCCTGCCTCCCAGTGCTGAGGTTACAGATGTGTGTCATCATGCCTAGCTTCACCTGTGCTCTTGAAAATTGTGGGAGATCCCCGGTTCTGCAAAAAAAAAAAATAAAATAAAGAAAGAAAGAAAGAAAATTGTGGGAGATCCTTACTGGTTCAGGGGAAAAGCCAGAGGAGGAAAACAGCCCAAACATCTCATTTGCTTTGGTATCTTTATGATCTGAGTGACTGTTGTTTCTAATCCCAGCTCCTTTCCCCAACTAGAATTGAGGGAAAGCCAGTACCTTCCAAAGCCGTGTGTGACAGTATTTGCAAATATTTATCCCTCTCTTCCCAGCCCAGACTTTGTCTTTCTGACCTTTGCCCATGATGACAAGCTGACTTTTTTTCTCCTTTGGGCTGCGCTAATTTGATCTTATATCCTAAAGCTTAACCTACATTTAGAGGTGAGAGGAGGAAAAGGTTTTCTTTATCTTCTGGAGAGAATGAAGGTTAAGGCAGAGAGGCTGGGGATCACTGTTCAAGAGCCCCAAAGCCATTCTTCCTATTAAAAGGATATGCTGGGTGGTGTAAGGAAACTAGACAGAGTGATGAATCAAAACAAATCAGAGCAATTTTTTTTTTACTTTTATAACACAGATAAAACATTTTATTGCTAGGCATGGTGGCGTACATCTGTAATCCTAGCACTCAGGAGGCTGGGCTCTCTAGTGAGATCCTGCTTCAAAAGGCCCCCCAAATGATGTTTATCATTTAAACAGTGACTTTTTCTAAATGTAACCGAAATTATTGGAACTGGGCTTCGTCTAGGGTTTAGGAGTATTCTAGTCCAAAATAAGGGAAAGAAGGAATCTAATGCTCTCTAAAATTGGTCTAGGGGCTGGTGAGATGGCTCAGTGGTCTAAAGCACCTACTTAGAACAAGCTTAGCAAAGCACATGGACCACGGTTCAATCCCCCAGCACCACATGCCAGCCAGCCCGCCCCCTGGTGGGCTGAGCTGGCCACACACACAAAATAAATTAAAAATAAAATAAAATAAAATAAAATTGGTCTAAATCCCCCATATTTTTTTGTATTTAGTACAGGATCTCACTACATAGATAGGAGTATGTAGTGATCTTCCTGTTTTCAGCCTCCCAA